AAAATGCCTCGCCTGACTTTAAAATCGTAGCTAATATGCATCCCTGCCTCATAGTTATCCCAACGTGCAACATTTATTCTGCGGGTAGCGACAGCAGAATCGAGCTTGCTGTTGTGAAGGATAGGCAGACACTTCCAGAGCGAATAAATATTTTATGCTTTTTTTATATATATTTCAGGGGGTTTTATGTATTTTGAATTCACTGGCCAAAAAAAGCAGCAGTGCTACAGAGTATGTGTGAAATTTTAGGCTTTAAGTGGACATTATGAAGAACAAAATGAACATATCTTAATATACACATGCAAAACATGTATTGCCAATTCAGAGTTACCAATTGACCTAACCTCTCTACCTGGATAGATAAGCAAAACTGTTTGTTCTATTAAAAAAAAGGCAAGAAACTGTTGTAACATGCCAAGCTGAATATATATATTATTTATATATATATATATATATATATATATTATATATATATATTAATATATATATATATATATATACTTATAAATATGAAATGTGTTTTCTACATTAGAAATACATGATGTGCTCAAAGTACGATAAAGAGATGTGACAAAGAGTTGTCTATTTAATTTTATTTACTACTTAGATATCTGTAAGTCAAAGCTGTAGCTCAGGAAGTAAGGCAGGTTGTCTGCTTTACTCTAAGCTGTCGTCAGTGCATCTGTCATTGTGTGTGTGTGTGTGTGTGATGGTTAGAAAGTGCTTAAATGCCTCGAATATTAAATGTAGTGCCTTGTAATAAAAAGCGCTTTGAGTGCTCAGTTAGATTAGAAAGGTGCTATATATTTACCAGTCTATTTCATTTGTAGCATCTCCCATTTGACGTGGCTTTATTCTACAGTTTCTGTTTATTAAAACAAATTTACGGAGCGTGCCACAATAACAGAGGATGAAAAACGTTTTGTGTGCTCTCTTCTACCTCCTGGGTATCTTGAAATTTTGGGAGCCTTTTTACAAAACTAAGAGCACTGATTGGCCTCCCTGTAACGACACTTTGCATGTGAATTATGGCTACTTTGTGTATTTGAAGTCGACAAGCATTTATTCTGCTCAAATCTGGCATCCAGCCCATATTCTTCAGATTTTGTCAGGTAACATATAGCAGCTGTTGTTTGTCTAAGTGCATAGTATGTATATGTTTTCTGTGGGGCTTTAAATAAACACTGGGAGGCATAAGGCCTCACTCGCAGTATGCTAATATCGGATATCGTTTATTATATGAGTTGCCAAAAAAAGAAGGCACTGAGCAGCGTACCTTAGCAGACAGCAGTGAAACATTGGACTCCTACCTTCAATGTCAGTGTCCTCTTTTGCGTCCCTTGTAGCATCCCAATAAACCAGAGGCAATAAAGTAAAAGCTTTTATTAAAATCACCCACTCATCCTTACCCAATCCACTTGACATTACAAAAGCCCACCCAAAATAAACCCTATTTTTACCTGCTATGATAATAATAATAATGAGGTAAAAACACAGCCCTGTGTTTGTGTACTTTGTGTTTTAAATCTCCTGCACATTATTGTGTGATTATTCTCTTTTTTGTATTTTTCCTTTTCATTTTGCCTTTCTGTCTATCTGGCAAGACTGAAGCTACCACTGCGACCAAGAAGGTACGGCTGGGTGTGAGGATCAGAGAGTCTGACAAACACATAGTGCCTGTAAAGGACACCTCTAATTTGAGGCTGTGACTCTATAGACAGGAGTGTTTCTGTGAGTGTGAGTGTGTGTGTGTGTGTGTGTGTGTGTGTGTGTGTGTGGACATCTTTGTGGGGCCCACCAATTGTGGGGACCAACAGTCACTTGTGAGGACAAAAGTGCCTGTCCTCATGGGTTTGAAGCCATTTTTGAGACTCAAAATGTGGTTTTAGTGTCAGGGTTGGGTTATGGTTAGGTTTAGGGTAAAGTTGAGGGTTAGGAATGTATTTTTCATGGTTTAGGTCAAATATGTCAATTAGAGGTCCCCACAAGATATGAATACCTGACACGTGTGTGTGTGTGTGTGTGTGTGTGTGTGTTTTCAAGCTTACAGGTGCTTTTCTAACCTGAAAGCTGTCCTCATAGTCACTTTCTTTCTCCTCCCAAAGTTCATATGAATTATACTTAGAGAACTGAGGATTTGTAGATGACACCAACACATGATGAACAGTGCTGTTGGGTTTGTAAAGAAGGTAAATGCGAAATGTAATGTAAAAGCACAGCATGTCATTCTTGGCAGTTAGTTGAACACACAAAATTTGGCAGGAAACTTGAGAATAATATTGATTTTTTTTCTTTTCTTTTAAGCTAATGATGGTATTTCTTTTAAGCTAATGATGGTAGCACTCTGCAGAGGGTTAAGTGTGTATATAAGAGACGAGCACAGCTTCTAGGTCTGATAAATAAAAGCCAGTGTTGTTCTAATGGCCCGAACAAATAAGTGTGTTTGCATAGATGTCTGTAAAAATTACTTGATGCTGGCTTGATCTGTGGCCTATTCAGTTTGAGTTACTATAGCATGATGTTCACTGGGTAAATTATGAAGTAAGAGTAACAGTAAGAAACATAAACCATAAAGCAGGATATGCTTTGCTACCTTGTTAATGAGTGCAGAATACGGTGAGCTTGTGATTTGTATTTATATACCACATATAAACGCTATTATCTACTATTCCAGTTTTAGTCATTACACGTTACCGTTTATTATACTGCCTAATAATATTACAAAGGATTGTTGATGTCGTGGAGTTTTCAAGGACATCTCAAATGTGCACGGTCACTTACAAATTTCTGTCAGAATGTTTATGTTCAACACTTTAGCGTTCACGCCCACGCCGCGGTGCATTTGCGTTTTGGATTCAGACCAGAACAGATTTATTCTGAAAGGCCTGAGTTTGCAGTCCAACCTTTCACTTCACTCACTGCAACATTTCTCAATTAAAATGCAAAACGCTAAAACACTGTCACTTGAAAGTCGTGACCCTCCTTTAGTCCAATTATATGTTCTGGCAGTATGCCCAATGTCTTCTAGCTAATAACACAGTTCCACAGTTATTGATGGCACACTTTCTGCAAAGATGGGATGCCTTATCTTGTAGTCGTCTAGCCACTTGACTGGTGTAACACGCGGTGAATGCTTGAGGTCCAGCATACTAATGGGCTTAAACCTTCAGGTTGTATTTTAGTTTTATTGAAGGACTGTTACCAGGCTTCTCAAGGCCAGTTTATCTTGCAGGCTCAGTCTTGGTGTTTTTGTCGAAACGAAACAGTCGATTGTTGCTGAGGGTTTGTAGCCTTGTGCGTCCACAGTTATTCAATCACTCTGCCTAATGAGACCTTTGCTTTGCTATGTTGAAATTTATGTCATGTCACCAAACTCCCATAAGATTTATCGGTGTTTAATTTGTCCCACCCCGATGGTCTCGACAGAAGAGAGATGTGTCAATTCAAAACCTGGTCTGGACACGCCCACACAGTCCACACACGCCACACAGGTCTAACCAGGGTGCCCAGATGTGTGATGTGCAGCAGCAGTAAATTGTTGTGCTTTGTGGGTTTTTTGGTAGTTTTCGAGCAGGGAGTTGCATATTTACGTTTTCTGTGGCATTTGGGTTGGAGTTAAGGGTAATTTTTTGCATGAATGATCACACGATCTTTTAATTTTACATGTGTGCAAATTGAAAACATGGCACACGTTAGATACAGATGTTAGTTACATACTTGCAGAAGCTGAAAAGAGAACATAGAAAACATAAAATATTAAAGGAGTTCCTCTTTCCAAAGGAACGGACCTCTGTTAAAGTCAAGCTGCTCCTCCGACTGTGCGCGCACTGGTTTCTGTGTTCGAGGCAAAACAGTAAAAATCTATTTTATTTTTCAAATTAAATCATGGCCGCTTTACCTACAGGGCGCAACTGAAACCCAGAAATGTGCAGCGCTCGTATTTCAGTGAGTCCATTTAAAAGAGAGGTTAGCCTGGTCATTTAAAGTCATTTAATATTAGGCTGCTGTGTTTGCAGCTTCCTCCTTATTTCTGCTCGAAACGTCAGCCATCAGGTTTATTATCGTCTGTTTTGTTCACAAAGTTGACTCATGGGAAGCCTTATGAAAAACAGGTGACAGCTTCCTGCTAAGAAAAGGTGAAATAGTTTTTACTACAGACTTCAAACTTCAGAGGTGTATTTATATATTCTCTACACTTAAGGAAGTGGCGTGCACTCTACAGCTCGAAGTGTCCTTTTCACGCTGGTAAATAGCTTTTAAGAGGCATAAAAGGAGTCTTCATCCGTATCGCCCATTACATATGTGATTTCTTTACAACTCGGCCTTTCCGATGTGCATTTTAGTCAGCATTTACTTCCTGTTTGCCTACCTATCAAACTGCAAATACGCCCAAACTGTAAGTCGCTGTGTGACTCACGTGCTCGCAGTCATCAGTGTCTAACCTACCGTGAAAGAAATGTGGCGTTACACACAGCTCGTCATCTTTTCAGCACGCTTCCTGCAGCAGAGCTCGTGCACGCGTTTTGTACGACTTCTGCCTTTTCGTCTAACTCCACAGTCTGGTTCATACATATTTACTGAGCCTGGCTCACAGGTTGTAACAATGTCATGGATTATTGGATTCATTTAGATTTTTCTAATTTCAATCTTATCATTTGTTTATAAATTTATGACTCAATAAATGTAAATGATTTCTGAATGTACTTTATATTTTCTATGCATACATGTAGCATATATGTATATTAAGGTTATTGCGGCTTGAGTGATCCAGCCCGCTCGAGATCAAACTGGGCTCCTTCTAGTTCGTTAAATGAAAACGAGTTTGACAGCCGTGCTGCAGAAGCACAGGATACTCAGCCGCGAAGCTGCATCCGATTCATGCTTGAGGTTTTTGCAGTCTATCGAGCAGACTGTGGAACTGCTAATAAAAGTTCGAAATAACCTGTGAACACCTCCTCTTCCTCTCTCCTTCTGCTCCTGCTCTTTTATGTGTGCTGCAGCTGGATACTGAGGCGGCTGACATCCTGAACGATCTGCAGGTGAAGCTCAGCACCGTCCTGGACAATTTCAGCACCATGTTTGCTAAGAGGTAAAAATGCTCATTTCCTGGTGTCTTAATCAAGCCAACTAAAAGCTCAAGCCAAGCTTATCCTGATTGAGCTGGAACCTAACACACACGCACACACACACACAGTTGAATGACTGAGCATTCACCGCCTTTGCAGAAGTCTTTTTCCTCTAAGTTTGCCTCGGTCTCTGCCTCCAGTTTCCAGCCTCGCATTAACGGCTGCATGCGTCAGATGGCTGAGATTCTCTACCAGATGAAAGGCCCCCCCAACCACAGCACCGCTGAGGCAGACGCTGACACCATGCTGAGGCCCCTCATGGAGTTTCTGGATGGGAAGTAAGTAGCTTATGTTGTAGATTATATCAGAGTACACCACCAGAGTGACTGTCCTAACTTGAATGTACTCTTGAAGTTTTAAGTCATTAATTTCATGGATTAAATGAAACGTGTATTTCCATTAACCCAAATGATTTTTTACTTTCTGCGAGTTAAAATCGATCCAGCTTGGCGGTACCGCAGTGCTCATAGGCAGAAACTTCCGAGACATTTTTTTTTTTACCTTAATATTTTATGGCTGCAAGCTGCTATAACTCATATGTGTGTTTTTTGTCTCATTATTTATTGGTACAGAGTGTGCTGTTTGGAATATCATATGAACAGTATTGCAGTACGGGGGAAACATAGATTCAAAATATGAGTATGCAAAGTGATGAGACAGAGCAAAGGCTCCAGCTGAAGGTTCAAGATAGTGACTGAAGTCACCGGAGACACTTGTGTTGGTGGAGCAGTGTAAACAGATGGCTGATGGAGTCAGGACGACCCAGATGAGGTGGAGATGGAAAGGATGAGCGCTGCACAATAAGCAGCCTTAAACACAGAGACATCTCACAATGAATTTAAAGATCAGGGAGTCACTGGCTTGAAGGGCAGATAGATTACTGGGTAAGACTGGTGACATTCAAATTTTGAATGAGGGGAATTTGAATCGGTTAAAGCTCCAGCAACACTTGTAGTATATAAAACAACTTGACCATCAACCAGCGTGTGTTTGTGTCAGCTTGTGGCCTTCATCGAAGTCGTCGTGTGACAAATTACAGACAGCATTTTAAAGTACAAACGTATGGAGTAACAGGAGGGGCCTGTTGGTAACAAAGGGGCGTGTCCTACAGTGTCTTTAAGCTGAACAGCGTCTGTACCTTACAGTATAAAGAGCCTTAAGGCGACAACTGTTGTGTTTTGGCACTTTTAATCCACTTTTAATCCACTACAAGAGCTTATTAAAAAGAAGTTGATGTAAAACATGTACACAGTAGAAAAGATAGACCTAGCTGCATTCTTTTAGTGGCCACCAGGGGGCAATACCTGTGGATTTAAGTCTGGGAGAACAGCTGGCTGTGAGGTCTTGTAAACACCTTCCTGATGACTTAGGTATTTAGTATTAGTATTTATTTATTTATTGTCATTGTCAAGAACAATGAAATTGCGTTTGGGGCTTCCATACAACCCAAAAAAGAAGAAAATAATAAATACCCCTTAAAACCCAAGTGTACATATTTAACCCAGTGTGACTCCAATGCAATAGACAATCCTTAGCAATAACATGAGAACCTGACAAGTAATGTTGGTAGAAATTCAGACAAAGACCTGAGAAACATGACAAAGTACAACAGTGCAACCCATTCAATATTATTGTACTGTGAGATATGATATCAGATATGATAGTTATCTATTTAAGAAAGAGGGGGGGGGCAGGAGGGGGAAGAGAATAAAGATATGATGCACCAATGCAGACCAGTTCATTGCTATTAAGAAGTTGGATATGGTTATTGTCCGTGAGAGGGGGGCAGAGAGTTCAGGAGCCTCACAGCCTGTGGATACAGGCTGTTGGCCAGTCTGGATGTTCTGGCCTGTATAGACCTGTACCTTCTCCCTGAGGGCAGCAGATGGAAAAGGTGGCGCGCAGGGTGATGTTGGTCCCGCAGGATACTGTGCACCCTCCTCAGACAGCGAGTGGGGAAGATATTACTGATCTCTGGCAGACTTGTTCCAATAATTCTGCCAGCTTCTTTCACCACCCGCTGGAGTGCTTGCTGATCGGCCTTGGTGCAGCTGGGGAACCACACTAGAAATCCATACGTCAGAACGCTGCTGATGGCACAGTTGTAGAAGTTCAACATCAGAGATCTGGGAATGTGTGCGCTCCGCAGTCTCCTCAGGTAGTAGAGGCGCTGTTGGGCCTTCCGTGCAACTGAGGTGATATGGTTGCCCCAGGACAGGTCCTCGGTCACAGTTACCCCCAAGAATTTAAAACTGCTCACCCTCTCCACCGCCTCACTGCCAATGAAGAGAGGCAGATGGTTGTTATGACCCTTCTTCCGGAAATCTACAATGATCTCCTTGGTCTTTTTGGTGTTTAAGACCAAGTTATTGTCGTGGCACCATGACTCTAGTTGTTGCACCTCTGTCCTATAGTTTGTCTCATCGTTGTTGGATATAAGTCCGAGCACTGTAGTGTCATCGGCAAACTTAACAATGAGATTGGACGCGCAGGAGGAAATACAGTCATGGGTGTAGAGAGTGTATAGCAGAATAAAACATTATAGTTTAAGAAAGGAGGATTATCCACCGTTTGCTCGTTGGCTTATGACTGAAAACAGATGAGTCGTTAAAAAATGACCATGCACCCCAAATCCCAAAACTCACTACAATATGCTCCAGTCCCTCAGAGACCCTCAACAGGACAAAGTGGTAGAAAATCGATGGAAACAGAAAAGTTTAAATGCTTCTGTGTTCATCCTGAGAGAATTATCATCACTACCTCTGATCAAATGAGCTGAATTCTTTACTCTGTTTCATCTGCTCGCCTGAACTACTACAGGACTCAGAGCCTTTAGTTGCTCCAGGCCTTGGAGGGCACTTCCACCAGATCTCCAGACCATCAACTTTCTATTTTTAAATTGCGCCTCAAAGTCCATCTCTTTAGAACTACACAACTCTCAATATAACATGGTTATTAATAATGATATACCTTATTATTATTATTATTATTATTATTAAATAAAACAGGGAGAGATTTAACAGAAACCCAGCATCATGACATCTTAATATGTTTCATCTTTTTGCGTCACCTGATCAGGCCGTATCTTTGCTTCCATAGCAATCAAATTATTTCGATGAATGAGGCCTCAGCTATGAGACAGAGCGTGCTGTACAATCACAACAAAAAGATTTTTTTTTAGCAACATTGATATTTGCTTCTTTTCTGTTTCACTGGAATATCTGGATTTTTTATTTTCATTTTGAAAAAGCCAGATGTGTCCTTTGTCATCATGTTCGTGTTAGTTTTTCTTCGTTAGGGTTTATTTGTGTTTGTGTCAGTCTTTTGTGCAGCACACAGGCACAGAGTGACACGGTCCCTCACATTTTTCCGTGTTTGCTTGTAATCCAGTCTCAGTATTTTTGCTGACATCTGTGAGAAGACGGTGCTGAAGAGGATCTTAAAGGATCTGTGGAAGATCGTCCTGAGCAGCCTGGAGAAGACCATCGTGCTGCCTCAGAGCAATGACAGCTTGGTGAGCACATTAACCAGCACAACTGAGTGGCCATCAAAAGTCCAGCGTTTACATACTTACTCTGGGGACAGTAAAGGAGATGGAAAACACACACACACAAGGACACATTTATGAAAGGACAACCATCTAGGACAGTTTGTCCCAATTTGTATTGATTTCTCTTTTAAAACTTTTTTGGTAATATGTCTGAGACAGAGTTGTTTCTTGCTGGGGGTCAAATCTAACCAAATTTAGAGACAGTTGTATTTATTATGTTTTTCTGTCTTCTCAGCATCATACTAATTTTCCTGAATGTACTAAATTAGTTTACAAAAATAATTTTTTACAGAAAAAAACAAAGTAAATAGAGTTTACAGCGAGCTTATACATGACCATCTTTAAGTGTGATGCAGTGTGCTGCAGATGCAGCCCTGTGTTGCCATCTAGTGTCCGACATCAGCATTTTTACAAAACGACTGCTGCTGTTAGATTTCTTTAATGTTGCAGTAATAATGAAAAAATGAAGGTTATTAAGATTTCATATATTCCGCCTCTCTGTCTTTCTCTCTGCAGGGAGCTCAGCTCCTCACAGCAGCTAAAGGACTTTCTAACCTCAAGGTAACACACGTAGACTGTCGATAAAGGGCGTAGCTGCCTTTATGTTTCATTGTAAATTCTTATTACAGTTCAATAATAACCCTGCACGTTTGAATCGTAGGTAAAGTCAGTAAACTTGCACAAGTCGCAGTACATTCAAATCCATTTTACCACCTTCACAGCTCATAACTGCAAACTTCCAGACTTTCTTTAATAGTTAGCTGTAGTTATTATCCAGCATCAGGACTTACTGATGTGTGCTGTGTGCTCATGATCTGGTTTTGTGTATCTGTGATGTATAACTTCTCTGACTTCTGTAGGGAGGAGGTGAAGCCAAAACCCTGACGCCCAAGCAGTGCATAATTATTGATGCAAGCCTCGAGTCAATCAAGGTAGGTGAACACCTACATCTCTTTTACAGCTTCATTTTTCCATCTCGCTGCTGTATTTGAAGTGCCTGGATGAGTTTAGAGTTTAGGGTTAAGAATTGTATTACTCTTCAATACTCTTCAGTATTTTATTGAGATGTTCCTCTAAAGTGAGCATTTCCTCACTTCCACCTTGCCACTTCCTTTCCTTTCAGCAATATTTCCACGCGGGAGGAAATGGGCTGAAGAAGGCGTTCGTCGAGAAAAGTCCTGAACTGGCATCGCTGCGTTACGCCCTCTCCCTCTACTCCCAGAGCACCGATGCTCTCATCAAGACCTTTGTCACCACACAGCACTCCCAAGGTGATCGCACACACACAAAGTTCACTCGCTGCACGCACAGTGTGGATGGTTTTTGTCTTCTCTGTGGTTAAAACCTTAAACTTTTCTCCTCCTCCCTGTCCTCTCAGTGCATGATGGGATGGGCATCAGAATCACCGCCAATGAGAAGATCAGACCTGATAGGGGTAAGTCTTTGATACAAGAAGAACTCGCTAAACTCCGAGTAAAATAGACCCCAGGAGGTGGAGTGCTCCTCAGCATGAATCAACACAGAAACAGAACCAACACCTTCACACTCGTGTAGAGCTGGAGCCCCTCGCAGCTCACAGTTAATATTAAGGAGGAAAATAATGAGAACAGTTTGGAGAATTTTGGAAATGTTGCTATCACAGCGATGAGCTTTAATGAAAGGTCCTTTTGCACCCTTGAAACAAAGCGCGTGCCTCCTCTCCTCCTCCCTGTATTTGACTGGACTTTGGTGATTCGCTGTTGTTGGTGGTGTAACATTTCTGCCACCCAACTCTCCATTATCAGCTTGTGTGGAGATTAAATTAACAAGCTTGCCCAAAGCAGAAATAAAGAAATGAAAATGGGTCACTGAAGCCGCCATAAGAAGTGAATTACACAGTGAGTGAAGTTTAAAGATGTGTTTAATCGCGTTAGTGTGTGATACCGCTCCGGCTGTGTCGTGCAGGTTCGGGGGTAGATAAGCCGATCGGAGAGGCCTTGCTGCAGATCGACATGCTGCTCGGCAAAGAGCGCAAGGTCAACGTCAAAGGTGAGACGCACGCATACAGATGTGTTTAAATCACAACAACAGACCTCGTCTCCACACGGAGCAGATCTGTTCAAACATTTGAATTTAAACTTATAGCGAGGAACAAATCTTGACCAAATCAAGTAAACTTGGGGTGAACTCGAAATGCTTTCTTATATCTTCAGTAGTTTCTTGTCATTTTTTCACTCTTGTGTTTGTAGATCTACATGCGTGCATGCAGTAGCATCACCCCCACTGCTTTGTGTTTGTCTCTCTTGTCCTTTATCTGCTCACCCTCTCTCTCATCTCCCCTCCAGTCATCGCGGTGAACGACATGAAGTGGCAGACGTCTGGGATGTTTCGGCCTTTCGTCGACGTCTCCATGGTCGGTCCATTCCTGGCTGACAAGAAGCGCAAGTTCACCACAAAATCCAAGAACAACAGCTGGACGGCTAAATTCAACGAGGCTTTCCAGTTGTGAGTTGGAAATCTGAAGCGCCAGCAAAGTAAGATTGTTGAGTGGGTTGAGATACCGCAGATGGTTAATTGTTTCCTCTGCTCGCAGCGTCCTGGGTAAAGAATCCCCGGACTGCTACGAGCTGCAGGTGACGGTGAAGGATTACTGCTTTGGACGGGCGGACCGGGTGGTCGGCGTGGCCGTCGTTCAGCTGCGCGACGTGGCCGACCGCAAGAGCTGCGTGTGCTGGTGTCCTCTTGGGCCACGCGTTCACACCGACGAGACGGGCATGACGGTGATGCGTATCCTGTCCCAGCGTCCTGCTGATGAGGTGGCCAAAGAGTTTGTCAAGCTGAAATCGGAAACTCGCCCCGCGGAGGAAGGCAGATGAGCCGAAACGGGCTTTACTGAAAGCGAGGTTTAGAAGCGCGGCTTTGTCTGTGAGCAGCGTTTCACCTTCATCCTTAACTAACGGAGACCCTTCTGACTGATGACGTACAACGAGTTTATCATAGTTGGAATAAGAAAAATGGATTTGTTAAAAAGGGCAAATTTTCAGGAAGAGATCGTCTCTCAAAATGTAAAAAAAAGACTTTTCCAGTTTGCGATACCAGTCCTGTCAATGGATTTTATATCAGACGATGACTTTAGAGAGAATCACCGATCCAACCAACCCTACGAGAAAGCTCTCAGCAACGACAGAGACAAAACAAAACTCTAAACAGGAAGAAACTTGTGAAAACGTTCTCAGGAACGGCAGCTGTGATCGTTTCAGGTGAAGGGAAGCTCAGCATAGCATCTATCCAGTTAACTTTGTTTTTTTTGTGGTGTCATTTCATAATTTAATATTTTAGTGAGTTAATCTGGATAAAATCATTCTGACTTTCAAAAACCACCGAGATACTTGACCGTGCGACACATTTTAAAACTAGACCTGATCAGTAACCTCTGAAGTTTAGCAGCAGGGCGACAGCTCAAACACTCCCCTTTCACTCATGCGTCTATAAACGACCTCCCTCTGGTTTTTCATGACTCCAGGGGCCCCTGCCGGCCCTCAGTGAGGCCGACGCCACTGTAGGCCTAAGTCTTTGCTCACCCTCCATAAACTTTGTCTAAATGTGTTTCAGGGTGTAGTCCTTGCTGGTGAATTGACTGTCTGTTGACTGTGAGTATTACACGAGCCCATATTCTTCTATAATGTTTGAGCCTTTGAGGCCTTTAAACTCTTTACAGACACCGTGTGTGACTCTGGAACAACCTCTGGATCCAAAACCTAATGTCATGAAAACATACTACAGTGAACAAATGCTTTATTTGATTTGTTGCTGAAAGCGGAAACTTTTAAGACTGATACACAATTTAGTCGTAGACAGAGTTGTAACTGTAACGCACATATGTTTATTAACACAACTTAAGAAAGGACTAGTCATCACACAGTAGTCAGGCTATGCATTATCCACAGAGTGAGCGTCACACATTTGCAGCCAAATTTAACAGTGTGAAATATTGTGATACAGCGTCAGATCCTGATGATTTGCAGGTAATTAAACAGGAAATGCCTCAGACGTGTTTTTCCCTTTGATGTTAGCTTCAGACTGATCTATAGAACCTGCAGGGGCACTAATACGGGCTGTGGTTTGATTTTGTAGCAAGTTTTTATGGATTGCGTTGCCTTAAAATAAGCAGATGAGTTAGCTAACGAAGCTAGCCTGCTTTAAGAGACTTGAAATATGACAACACTGACTTGTAAATTAAAAGAAAAGTAAAGATGTTATTCAGAAGCAAAAACTCTGACTGACTGCTGGGCCGTTGGGTGTTTGAGGTTTTGATTTAATGCTAATTTGTGATGGTGACAAAATGCTGTGAATGGAAACAACAGCTGAAAAACCCTTTTAAGTGTTACGTAGCGTGAACACGAATATAGGACCAAACATGATCATTCCATTTTGTTTACTTTAACAGTTTTTACAAACTAGGACAGATGCAATCAGCCGCCGCAGCCTCGCCGCGCGTGCACCGTCACATATTTGACCCTTCTCGTGTTTCCAAACACGAGGTGGCATTTTGCATTAACGTAAAACTTTGAAGGAAATACAGGCAGAGCAAACAGGCCGGATTGAACGGACTGACTGTAAGCGGCGGTTTTTCCACCCTCTTGTCTGTTTATGTGCCAAGGACCTCCGTGTTCAGCGAGCCTCATTCAGCTTTCTCTCATGTTTCGGGTTGTATTTGACAGATGTGGCCTTTGCAGACATCCCACTTTTTACTTTTCCAAACTGGCTGCACGAAAGCAACTATAGAAGTGAGCCACATCTGTAGTTACACCCGAACTCTTGCACTCTGTTTCACTGTAAGTTTGTAAGAAATGAAACCAATGCCTACATCCAGAGCATGTATTTATTGTAAACAGTCAACTAGAATTGTGATTTCCTTTCCCCCATGTATGTACTGTGAAATATGAAGACTGTATGTAAAGTACTTATCATTATTCTAATGTGACATATGTTGAATATACTTGTAACATTATTTTGTACATAAAATATTTATGAATCAGCCTCGTGTCTTTGGTCACAGAGCTCGCTGTTCCCGCTCAGCACGGCAGCTCCGGTCAGTGATTCCTGCCTTACCTGAGCGCCACACTCGGTTGCACACCTGCTCCAGGTTTAATCTTTCTGTCTTTGCAAACACACACCTTCTGTCTTCATCACGGTAACTGGTTTAGCTATAAAAATTAACAGGAAAAAAACAGTTTAAACTAAAGAGCACGAACCACAAGGCCCCGGGTACTGTGGGTGTTCTGGGGAAGCGGTGCTTGGGATGTTTTGCGTGGATTGTGCAGGCTCTATTATTCTGGGTACTCAGAGACTGTTAAGTGCACTGGTGATTTTAAATGGTTGTGTGCTGGATAAGTACTTAAAGGTGTATTGCATAAAGTGCTGTATGAATGGGTGGGTAAATGTAGTCTAAATGACTCAAAGTAGCCAGTAAGACTGCAAAAGCGCTGTATACATGCAGGTCGATTCTGTTTTTGTCTGATTTGTAGCTCATCTTTATGATGCATTAATACTGTAATCCTGCTCAGCCGGTCGTTGATGAACATACAGTCAGGGAGAGCTGCTCATTTAAGTCTGAATGACTGTTTTTTATAATTTGGAAGAAATAAATAACGTCGAGAAAATAACTGACTATTCCCCAGATGTCACAGCACAGAGTTTACTACACGTCCGAACGACCACAGCGTGAATCATCAGGTGAGTAATACTGCTGTGGCGTTTGATTCTAATTTCCAGGTGTTTCACAGATACCTTATGTTGATGCTTTTTTCTGGTTGCTTTAAAGGTAATCCACAGGTGACAGGGAAAAAACATGAGCCCAGACCTGAATGACTGGCATCTACATTCACTTCCTTTTTGGATGCCTTCCTTGTCTTATGTTACATTTTTAGTAAAAAAAAAAAATTGAAAAACTAGTTTATTTTTCTTAATTTAACGATTATTAAAAAATTTTTGATCACGTTCAGAAAAATAACCGGTGAAGCAAATTCCCAGAAGAGAGAGCAGGTCATCTACTGATCGGAACGTTGGTGGTTCGATTCCTGGCTCCCCCTAGTCTGCGTGCCAAATATCCTTGGGTAAGATATTAACCCCAAATTGCTCTCTGATGCATCCATCGGAGTATGAATGTGTGTGAATGTTACTTAGAAAGCACTTAGAACAATGTGCTTGTGCGAATGGGTGAATGTACAAGTTGTGTAAGGCGCTTTGAGTGTTCAGAAAGAAGAAAAGATAAGAACAAGTCCATTTACAATTTACCATAGTGTCACATTCTGAGTTATTACAACACTGCCTGTATCTAAACTCTGTCCAGTTTGGTTTTTGTATTTGTTTTGCATCAGTATAGTTTTTGGTCTTTAAATCTGTGAAGCATCAATATTGGAACGTACCATGAAAGCTTCAAATCAAACAAAACAAATATTACAATTATTCCATTTTTATTTCTGCACAGCTGTGTTAGTACAGCTTTGAGTCAGACTAACACGATTCACTCACTGGAATAGCAGGAATAATATATACTGTATATTTTACCAAACAAGAGGACTTATTATATTCATTTCTGCCTTCATATTTTTAGTCTTGGACTTAAAACTTAAATATTAAATTATATAATAAATTACATTAATGCAATTCTTTGAAAAACATATTCAGATGAAAGCGTTTTGTTTTTTTTGTGAATGCAAGTTGATTGTTAACACAGTCATGTGAAAAAGAAAGCAATGATCTCAAGCGCAGCAGCAAATCTCCAACAGAATGCTGAAAAAGAAAAGACTCGTGGTGCTGCAATGGTCCGGTCAATATCCAGACCTCGACCTGACTGAAATGCTGTTACAGGACCTCAGGAGAGCTGTGCATAAACCAATACCTGCAAATGTCAACGAGCTGAAGTAATGACGGTGCTGAAGGTGGTTCTATGAGCTACTGAATGATGCGATTCTTAGTTTTCACTGCAGAGTCCTGTGAAATGTTCTTTTTGACATGACAGTGTATGTTCAGGGAAAGCGTGATCACTAGAGGCACAGCTGATAAATGATGAATCAAAAAAAGGACAAATAGCACAAAATTTAGTGCATTTTGCAATAAATTCAAATATTTAGAGTTTTACTTTAATTTTACTGCATCTATAGAAAATACTTCCTTGCACATGGACAAAGTTTGATACTAGTTGAACATTACTGGTTTCAGCTGTTTGTTTACACCGTATCACGCTGTGGTATAACCAGCTCTGACACCAGTGCTGAGTAAAGATAAAATGGGCTGAAAATCTGGGATCCGTGATGTCGGAGAGGAGAGTGGGTGGAGTTTCTAAATAGATGCCACGTGAATACGAGTCACCCAGCACTGAGATATAACACTATTAATCCACACGACATGTTCAAATCAAGTATGTCAGGCTGTGCTTTCTGAGCGGCTAAACATCGCTGATCTGATGACATCATCTTTGTTATAACTGACTGTCGCACTCCACTTCCACGTGGTCGCCAGACTTCCCGTTGTTCTGCGCGGGCTGTAAATGATCAGGAAGCAGGACCTCAACACTGTAGCTGATGCGTTTGGCCTGGAAGATGCTGTAGGTGTTGTCGAATCTCAGCACATCTGTGGAGGACAGAATGGAGTATTTAGACAGCTGGGTTTAACATCACAGAAGCACTCGAACACAAGGCCACTCACAGACTCCTGGACGCTCACAGGTCAGTGAGCCGTCCTCGGGTACTAAGTGGGCGTTGTATCGCTGACTGGGCACGATTTCCTCCATCTCAGCCGCCTTCTTCCATTCACCCTTTTTGGCCTTTTGAAAGACCCCAAATCCGATGTCTCCACCGTCACTGGCAAACTGCCACCTAACAGGATGTAAAAATGCTTTGAATTAGCAAAGCCTTTATTTTGAAAGCTAGACTGTGCTCTACAGTGGTACGGACGTTAGCCGTGGTTTCTCACAACCAAGATGGTGATGGCAGAAACGCTGGTCTCGAGGCTACACAATGGGACTTTAGAAACCAGTGAATGATGTCACGATAGCCATGTCCATGTTTTGTTCTGTCTATGGTCTCACTACAGCTGGGAGAGGACGAACTACGACGAGGCACATTCTTCCCGAGCAATAAGTGGCAGCTCAGGTTGACTGGGACCCTACTCGCTTGATTTTACGTTGTCAGCATGACTGTCACATGTTCAAAATAGCAAACCTAACTTTGTTCTGTTTCTTCTTTTGTCACGATTCTGTGCTTAAAGTTTAAAGATGTAGCTGATTTAATCTTCCTATTTTTCCAGCTGTAGCTTGAACAGAGACCCTTTTGGTTTGCCGTTTGATTTCTTGTGATATAAGTGAACTGAATAAGATCATTTTAAAGATATGGATTGATCTATTTCTCCACGCTCCAAAAATGGACGGCGTGCATCAACCTTTAATCGCACAATGAATGAAGTGAGTGACTTCACAACAAGCTGGCGTGATGAGCCATAATCATATCAGAGCTCTGCGGCTTTGAGTCAGGCTGTCTCTGTAATGATACAGCACATTCTTTTTAAGACCTCTTAGCTACGGCTCATCGACTCCACTCTGAGAAATTTACAGACACTATTCTTTCTACATGACTGTCTCCTTTTGACAGGACCTTTAATCATAGACTCTGTATGACTTTTATCACTGACCTGAGAACGCAGCCGGGGAACAAGATCTCAAAGTCCAGTTGCTCTGAAGAAACTCGGCTGATGGTCACAGACTGCTCGTAATCCACCTTCACATGGTCCCGCACGTAGTAGGAGGGAGGAACTGGTCCAACATGGTTTATCTGCAGCAGAGAGTCAAAAAGTAAAAAAAAAAAAAACAGGCGTCAAATACTCACACAGACAATGAGTGAGAGGTTTGAGAGCAGAAAAGTGAAGGAAAGAAGAAAAGGCTTCACTTACTGTGCCATTATACAGCTATGAAAGCCTGTAAAATGTCTAGTTGTGCACAAAACTGGTAAAAATGTTATAAAGGAGCAACGTGTTCTCTCTTTTCGGTTTTTCTTTTTATTCACATAAAGTCAAACCAATGATGTTCAGCGATTTCCCATAACAGTGCAATACAGGATGCAACCAGCAGAGGGCAGTGACTTCCTGGTGAGACCTGAGCTGCCTGTATTGTTGAATTAATGTCCATCGGTCCAGCAGGTGACGAGCAGGTAAACAGCAGGAACAGACAGACAGAGCTCCCAACTGCAGGTCGAGGTTGAGAAAAGCTGTCACGGTTTCACAAAGTGTCCCGTAAAGTTTTCAGCTGCTTTTGGATGTCAGCTTTATTGTGGAGGAAGTCAAACTATTGTGTAACCACTTCTCTAAAAATCTTGCAGATATGAACCTTTAGGTGATTTTATTTTATGACTGCCACAGAAAAACGAACAGGTACAGAAAAGAAAGGCAGAGGCAAAGAATGAAAACAAAACTAACAGCAAGTGAGAAGAACATCAGTCTGATTCATTTACACAGTTCATACAGGAGGAAGAGTGACGGGGAAAAAACCCTGTGAGGTGCATAAGGCGCTATGTATGTTTCATTTTGTTTAAAGTAGGTTTTTAAAATGAAGTAAATTTCTCAGATTTGTGTCCCCGACCACTCGGCTCCTGTTGGAAACAGAAAGTTGCATTTATCGATTTTCTCTTCTCTCCTTTTACACTCGTGTTGTTCCAGAGAGTTTTATTAGTAAAGCACTTAATAATCTTGTTATTTTAAAAGCTATATAAAAATGATGTTATCAAAGCTGTTTCAAAGCCACTAACTGTTTAACAGTACCTGAAAATAACGAGGCGTCATATCCAGAAACAAATCAGCACAAACTCTTAAACCTTTCTAGTTAAACACTCGTTCTGCAACACAACTACACTGGGCAGCACAAGTTCACACGTGGACCAAAATCAAAATAACACAATAGAAAATCAATGACACACAGCTAGCTAAAGGACAACTAGTTAAACACACAAGGTTAAAAAAAAGAAGCAAAATATTTGAGGCTGAGCGTCTGTTCCCTTCAACGAAGTCAAAATGAATTTCTCTCGTTCTGTTCCTCATCTGTTCTCGGCCCAATTTTTTATCTACAGAAACAGTGACAAACACGGGTCAGTTGTGTCATCTGGAGCTGCGTCTACGGCTGCAGGACTACCAAAGCTGCTGTTTTCTGCAGGGTGAGGCCACTACTCACTTCACAGAACATCTGACATCTACTCAGCAGGGGGGGAGGTTTAGCTGATTATTTTTATTTGCAGGTCTGCAAACATATTATTGGTCATTCATTTTAGTGCAACACACAGGCCCTTTGTATTGTATCAAGAAAGATCTGCTGAACAGTTTTTTGTGTGTGTGTAGCTGTATTGATTTATCCTGCAGCAGGCAGCCAGTCTGGAATAGCCCGTTCATCGTCAGTGACCTGGTTCATCCATGTGTAACAGGATCCTCACACACAGAGCCAGCAGAACATTTTATGATTCAGTGTTAGTAGCCCGGTGGTAGTTTGTTTGGCTGTAGCAGGAGGTTATGTAAAACATAGGCAAATGTAAACCCCCAACATATTAGCATGACATCAAAGCACAGGGGAAGCTGCTAAAACTGTAGGAGCACACGATGCAGATCAGTGAAGGGAAACTACAAAACAGGACTCACAAGTTTCAGTCGATATACATTAAAACGGTAAACTGGTGACTATTTCTGTGTCTACGGGAGGGCTGATTGGCTGTAGTTGGAGTCAGACGCTATCCAATCACAGCAGTTTTGAAAATGAAAGTTGTCACATTGCTTTATTAATTTGAAAACTTAATAAAATTGTCAATAGATTAAAAAAATAACTCATTAATCTTACAATTTTCTGTTATTAATTGTGATTAATCGCCATTACTTGATCAACAGCCTGACTGTAATTACACTTTTCAACTTTATATTTGAGCTTGTAACAGATATTTATGCAACATAATGAAGTAAATGCAGAATAAACACAAAAAATGTTAAATGCTTAAAGCATTCAAATTCAAGGAGCTGCCGGTGATATACGGGGGTATTCAAAGAGAATTTGAATAGTTTTCTTCTGGCACAGGTTCTCTCCTGTGAAATATAACTTTCTTTAAAAACCTACATACTAATTGGTAAGTATACAGTAATATATAACATATATATATATATATATTTTAGTGCTCTCAAACAATTAAAATTTTAATCAGATTCATCACAGCGTTACTGTGGATTAATTTTGATTAATCACGATTAAATATAGTTCATTTTTATTCTACATTAATCGCATTTCATTTTGCATGAGTGATCGCAAGGTGGCTACGTCCTTCTTTTATATACAGTCTTTATGAACATGGGCAAAACAACTACAATAGAATAACAGTCGATAATTTACCCGGCAACCAAAGAAAACATCTTCATACTACTACAGTGAACGACGCTGCTCTTTTAGAGATGTTGAGATTATATGCAGCAGATATATTAATGTCTTATGAGTCCAAAGCACTGATTGTAAATCTGTGATGGATATTTGTCGCCTCCAACTTTTCAGCCATTTTTTATTCAAAAACAAACAAAAACGAGCTAAAACAAGTCAGGATGCTGCAGCCTGACTCACCTTGTTGCGACAGCGAGGGTCTCCGTCAGGATCCGTCAGTTTACCCCCGTATATCGCCGGCAGCTCCTCAGCATCAATGTGGTTCAATAGCACCTCCTGCCAGTTGGCTGTGAAAGCGGCGAAACCGTAACACTAAATTTCACTCTTTCGGGTGACACCCTGTAAACAGGAGGTAGTGACATGCAGCGTTTTTGTCTCACCTCCCAGGATGCAGATCTTTTGTCGCGTGGCCTCACTCAGAAAGTGCTTGACGAGGTTGTAGGCCACAGGAAAGATTTTAGGGGCTGCGACAGAAAAAGCAGAAATCTGTCAATCGGATGTTCAGCTAAATTTGTCATTTTAAAAAAGTATGAAATCACCTTTGATAACAAACAGTTTCTTCAGCCCTTCTGGATAGTTGTCTTCAAACATCTGGAGGATCTGGTGCAACAGAGAAACATCAGCACCAACAGATCTTCTGCTCTTTCTGCTTTTACACTACGTGCATACAAGTCTATACCTCTCCATATGTTTCTATAGCTGGTTTCCATAAGTGCTTCAGGCCTAGACCTTCAACATCGTAGATCATTGTGATCGACTCCACGTTTTTCCCCAGCTGGAAGGAAACGGTGACATAAAGATAGTAAAAGCCTATAAAACATGTTTTGAATCATTTTTAAAAAGTGGCAGAGATGCATGTTTACTGCAGAGTTAACAGTCAAGTTGCTACAAACAGCCACAGTGTGATTAAATAATGTTAGAACATTAAATCATTCAAGTTCAGTGAAATCCAAACAAGACAAGCAGAGTAAAATAAAATGTAAATATTAGGACGCGATTATTTAGTATTTATAAAATTAAGGAATTCATGAAGATTAAAGAATGCTAATTTTGAGCTAATTTTCAATAACTGTGATCTTAAACAGTTGTTGAACTTTAAAACAGCTGCATTAACTTTGATCCTTGTTCAAATAAATTAAAGATGCAGTGCCAAAGGGTCACCAGGTGGGGAGTTATCCCAGGAATATGGCAAATGTGCACAGTATTCAGGCTGGTTGATTTTCAAAATAAAAGCCCAACCAGGACAGATCCTGTTTCTGAAACACTCCTGGTTGTTCTGAAGCCGTGCAAACGATGAAACGATACTGTGCTATCGAAGATGAGGTGGGTTTGTGGGATTGGACCCAAACTAGCAAGTTTTTGTTGATAGATGGTAAATGGTCTGTATTTGTATAGCGCTTTACTTGGTCCTAAGGACTCCAAAGAGCTTCACACTATACACAATCATCCACCCATCCACACACTGGTGATGGCAGCTACATTGTAGCCACAGCCACCCTGGGGCGCACTGACAGAGGCGAGGCTGCCGGACACTGGCGCCACCGGGCCCTCTGACCACCACCAGTAGGCAACGGGTGAAGTGTCTTGCCCAAGGACACAACGACCGAGACTGTCCAAGCCGGGGCTCGAACTGGCAACCTTCCAATTACAAGGCGAACTCCCAACTCTTGAGCCACGATCGCCCTCATAAAAATTCCCAGCTTCTGAGGGTACCTGCTGGTCGCTGTCAGCCTGCAGCACCACGGGCCTGTGGGTGCGGACGACTTAACGACTGTTAAGAACTAAAAGTTGAATCCTAACGATCTTGTTTTTTAACTGGTGAAAGACAAAATCAGATTTTGCACCACCTGAATGCAGTTTTGCTGCAGCTGAGCTTTGAGTGTTTTAGTCTGAGGTGTGAACAGGAACGCTGCGTCTGCTCTTACTCTCTCCGACTGGAGGTTACACTCCTTCTGAAGCATCTCGCAGTCTCTGATCTTGGACTTGATGAAGTCTTGCTTGGAGGCAGACAGAAAGAGGCCCTTAGGATCTACGGGTCCGATGACATCGTACCAGATGGGGCTGCCCTCGCGGTCATAACCGCACATGCCTCCTGACAGATATTTCTCGATTACCTGCAAGAAAACCCCCATGTTGATATCAAACAATAGTAGCGAAGAAGCCGTGTCATTTTCTAAAAGTACAATGAAGCTACATCACATGTACATAAAACCTTTTTAGGGGGTTACCTCTGGTGGACGCCACTCAGTGATTATTGTGTCTACTTTCATCTGTTTCCTGAACTCCAAATGCTGGAAGAAAAGATGGACGCATGTTAGCTTCTGTTGTTATTGTTGTGCCATCTGTGCTTCTGTTGTCCTCATCTCTTATTGATTCCTGTATGTTTACTCTTGTTTTGCTCACTTTCCATCCTCCTTGTGAGTCTTTCTGTTGTCTGTGTG